TTCGAGAGAGCGTAAGTGTGCCCTGGTTCTGCTAGCGGGCCTGTACGATGTCGAGGGATCAGTTCGAGAGAGCGTAAGTGTGCCCGATCGACAATAGCGCGAGATGTGACTTGTTTATTTATTAATATAAAGATGTACCTGGTGAACTGCAGGTTGGATGTATTCGATGCTGTGTATGTAATGTTCCCTTTGATTACAATTCCATTGGTTTCACTGTAATCACTTATTAAAGAACTGCCGATTATCTTTTCTATGCACGCGGGTACTCTTTACTATGCTGCCGAAAATATGGCCACGCGGCGTCTTTACAGTATACTATGCACTGACCGGCAGTTACGCTTGATTGAGAGCGAAGTGATGTTACGAATGAGCGTCGCCTCATGGCGCGTTGCGTTTAAATGTGCATGCGGCGTCCTCAGCGCCGGCAACAGTGTCGATGCGCGTCCCTTCCAGAAATTTTCCTTTGGCGTGAGAAAACGAAGATTCTAGAAGTTTCGAAGGCGTCCCTTTTTTTGTGAGTGCTGGCAGTAAATTATATTTCAAATCGTAAACTTGCTCGGACTTGCCGAGTTTTGTTTGTAAACATTTTGCTCGAGTACCCGCCTCGGTCCGCACGTGCGGATCAGCCTAGGCGCACGTGGTGGTCAGCCTTGCTGCACGCGCGGTCAGTCTAGGCGCACATGTGGTACGCCGGACTGCGCTTATGACCTTTCTTTTGTTTGAAAGTCATGGGACTGCTTCAATCCCGAACAAACATATAGTTTTTCAAGATGTACTTTCTTACAAAGTAGTAAACAACGATCAAATGTAATTTATATATTTATATTACTTAAATAGTAGTTAGTTGACTAAAAGTAGAAAAATCATATATTATTTTTTAAGAAGTAGTCATTATTATGTAATTCTAATCATTTATTTATAAAATTAAAGTAAAAATATTATGAGCTCACTCAGTTTATATTGAAATATTGTTATAAAGTTTTTATATAATTTTTATTTTATTAGTTTTATTTAATTTATTATTTTAACTCGGTTTAATATTATTAAAATGTAAAAAATTAAAATCTAATTAATTTTATTTTTTAATTCAACAATTTTTTAAATATAAATATATAATACCTTAAATCTTCTAATAATGTTGTAAACACAAATTCAATTTATATGTAAATATTTATTAGAAATTAATAGTTCTTAAAAAATATGAATTTATAATTAATAATTAATATTGCAATATTTAGTATCATAATTATTATGATTACAAATCAATTTTCAATTTTATATAAATTATAAATTCTTTAATATAAAATAGAGGTAATTTTTTTATTGTTAAAAATATATAAAATAATTTTTTCTAGTGCATAAATAACAATGCTTTGAACATTATATGATTTTCAAAATTAATAAAAAAAAATAAAAAAAAACTATTTATTTACATAGAAACTTCTATAATACGAAGATATTTGTTTATAATCATTATTTTGTGCAATAAAATTTCTTGAATGTTTATATTTCTTTTTTATTATTTTAGTTCAATTGGTATACTAATTATTCAACATTATATTCATTATTTGTTAATTGTTAATTATGTTTTATCTTACTTTTCCGGTTCCACTCCAATTTCCATCAAATAAACCAGCATTTTCTGCATAAATTCCAAGTTCTTTTAAAAACTTGTAATTTGTATACGATTTATATAATATATTTGTTGCCTTATATTTATTAAAATAAATACATTTTGTTATTAATTGTCGAAGCATCATTGTAAAATACAAAATATATACAAAAAACTGAAATAAAATAAAACTGTGCGATACGGTAGACTTAATAAACAACTCTTATCTAATAAGTAGTTATCAGTTATATTTAGAAAAGAATCTACTTTGATAAATAAAAATACTGATTATTTATAGTAACTTAATTAATATTTGAAATTAGTTAAAATTTCAAACATTATTTTTAATATCAACATTGTTATTATAATGGATTGTATATATAATAATTATTATTTCTACACATTTATTCAAATTTATTTGTTATTGAATAATATATCATATATTAAACTAAAAAATACAATATATTTTTTATTACATTTTCATATGCAAAAAACTATTTATTATTTCTATTAAACTATTAAATTCATATGAAAAAAACTAGTTACTTGCTAAAGTATTACTTACATTATATATTTTACCATTTGCAATAATGTTAATAGAATTTCGACATGACTGAAATATTTAGTTAAAAATTATTTTATAGTTCAACAAATGATATATCAAAAATTTTTTTAATAGATAGTAGTATAAAAGGTTAAGTAATAGACTATTATAAAAAATTTACTACAGCTATAAATATAATATATCAAATATAAAATATAAAGTTTTTGAACAATCAAACAATAAATAATAATAAAATTAATTATGTATACAAGATAATTAAAATATTTTATTTATAAATCTAATATCAATGATAAAAATCTTTAGAAAATTATAAAAATGATTTTTCATGATTATTTTATTTTTCGCTTATAAATGTTATTTCATTATTAGTATGAAGAAATAATTTATATAAATATAACTATATATACCCCATCTCCTACTGTTATCAGATCTTATAACTAATTTTTGTTTTATACATTTTATTTTATCACTTAGATTAATTTACTCTCAAGTTTAGATTTACTGATAAATTTTTTTCTTTGACATTTCTATCAATTCCCATATATACATTTATATTATTCAATCATTCGGTGAAACTTTTTTGCAGTCAACCTATTTTGAGCATACGTTCATTTTACTATTTACTTACTTTTTAACATTCACATGTTTAAGTACATTTTTTAAAATTTTAGTTTTCTTTGATTTTGTATAAATATTGTATAAAATATAATTTTTTTGCTTTAATATGATATAAAAAATTTAAGAGTTTAAATTTATAAATAGAGTTGATTCATTATTATTCGATTTTGAGGGTTTGTTTTGTGGCTCGAACTGCCAATTCAATAGTTTAGTGTATTAGTTTCTCGCCGTAGCGATTACTAGGAAAAAACACAAGGGGGAGAATTAATCATGCTCAACCGGGGGAGCATATCAATGTCTCTGGCGTAGTTAACGCGTAAAAACGACCACACTCCGAAGGGAGTATGGGAGTATTGGAGAGTTAGTCATACGCAAGAATAGTAAAGAATATACATTCGAGTACAGAATGATTTTACCTTATGAGGTTATAGTCGACTGTGTGCTCACGGCAGTATGCCATGGAATCGGCCATCCTCCAAGGAGAGCATGGGAGTGTTATGGCTAATGCGGAATGGAGAGGTGACTGCGCGTCGTCACAGGAAAGACACTGAGAGATCGCAATGCGCCACCTACCCTTGCATTAGGGAAGTGAGCGTTCTTCACAGGGAAGGCACTGAGAGAGCGCATATGAATGAGCGTCCTCTGCAGTGAAGGCACTGAGAGAGCGCACTTTGCCATCTGTCCACGTCGTCGCGAATTGTACGAACGTTCTCTACAGGGAAAGCACGGAGAGAGCAAAATTGAACTCCAAAGGGAGCGCGAGGGGCGAAATATTAAGAGCTTGTCGTCGACTATTTTAGAAACAGGAGTCTGCCATGAAGTCGGACTTATCCCTAAGGGGGGAGGGGGTGAAGGAACGTGACTGGGCTCCAGGGGAAGCGCGAAAGGTTTTATTCCTTTCGTGACAGACTCTGTTTGAACGTAGTTTAAGCGTGGGTGACTAACTCATACGAATAATTAATTGATAATACCTTATAAATTATAAATACTGCTTACTTGTGACTGCTTGGCTTGGCGCACTTAGTAGTTAAAAGGCTTCACATTAGAGTAACTATTTCTCTATCGTATTTAACGGTAGAATCGAATTCTTGTGTATTGTATGCGGCTTACTAGATATGCGGCTAAGCTTCGTGGTCGCAAGTTATTACTGTTACTAGATAGATTGAAAATACACTGGGGGTAATAATAGATCAATGAACGAGTAGTAGAATTACTGTGAGCCATGACTGAGAGTGCTCACACAGTGAGCCCGGTGCTTGGCGACTAAGTAGATGTTAAAAGTACAGTGAGTCCGGTGCATGGCGAGTTGTTCTTAAATATTCGCGTAGCAGCTTGCGACGCTGGCAACAGCACTAGAGCTTGGTGCTAGGTCGAAAACCTTAATGATGTCAGAAAACGAAGCTCTGGAATATTCTAGAAGTATCGTAGGACATAGCCTTGGAAGGTTCTAGAAGTTTCATCGGCGTTGCTATGCGGAAACTTTATAGTATATTAGAAATGCAGGCGTAGACAATTTACGAATTAGCCGAATCATGCTTACAAACATGAGCGTCCGAGAGTTTGTACTTTTCCCAACTTTTAAATTCTTCGAAGTTGCTCCAATCTCGAACAATTATTATTGAATAAAATAATTTTTCAATTAGAAGTAACGATGAATCTAGGTGTCTGGTAAATATTGAGAGTCTAATTGAGAGTTTTTTATATATATAAAATCGATTAATCTGAAAATTAGTAATTTCATTCACTATGCTGCAATAATTCACACTATTAAATTGTTTAAAACTCTCTATTAACGAAATTGTTACTTATATATAAAGTTATATTCATTAAAATTAATCATATAATACATTACATGATAAAATCTCCAATAAACTTTTTTTAAATCTGCATATCTATAAAATGACATTAATTTTCTAGAAATCAACGAAAAAACAAGTTATCAATTACTAATTATAAGTTATTAATAATTACTAATACAGCTGATTAACTATTTGTCAACAATTTAACAATGATTGTATAGAATTCTTTTATAATTAAACACATGTTAATCCATTATTTTTGTATAATTGGCCATGTTACGGATTGAAGCAGTTAAAAGCGGAATCCAAAAGTGGGAGAGGTATAAGCTCCCGGACATTTACGTTTATAAACACAAGTCAGCGCATTCGGCAAAATTCCACTACGCTGAAAACTCGAATATACGATTATAATTCCGACTAGCAATGCCGACGAACCTTCCAAGGCTATATCCTTCTGACGTCAAGATACTGATTAGTATAGCAACAGACACCGTTGCGCTACCGGCGTTGCAAGCTCTCACGAGAATATTTAAGAGCAGCTCTTAACGCCCATCTTCCTTGTGCTAGTACTAATCACGCAGTCTCTACGATGGGCTCACTATTGTACTTTCAAGCATTACCACTACAGACATCACTTACTGTGACTATTCACGTACGTAAGCATCAAGCAGTTCAACAAACCAATAGTGACGCCACACAAATACCGCCTCTCACGCCTACGTAAGCAGCAATACAACACAGACGTTCCTTACAACTACACCGATACCGGGTCTCATGCCTACGTAAGCAGTAACGCAACACGCACACTCCTTACTATCACACCAACAGCAGCGGCGCTCACGCTCACACCTGCGGCTAAGGCAGCATCGCCTCACTCGCTCCCTTGGTACGTGCCTGCTACAACAGCGACATTTCTCGTAAAAGGAAGGAATCACGCCTCACACTGCTGAAATTACACACACTCTCACCATCATGTAAAACAATTGAAGAAACTTCATCATAAAATACACTCACACTCTCCATTCATGTACTTTGTGACCACTAACTAATTGTTATATTATTGTATTTAATAAAGGAAAAACAAGATACCGTGTGTAGAATTGAATAATTGCATTTGCCTCATCCACTTGCCCGCAATACCTCCACCCCCCATCAATGGAAGGTTTTCAGTCTGATCCTAGACAGACTTATTGTTCAATCTTTTTAATATAATTTGTACCAACCTATTTTTCACATATTATGTCTGCTTGTCTTTTCAAGTTTCTGTATTGGATATACGTATATATATTCTAACAAATTCTGTATAATAACAATATCATAGTCAAATTTAAAATCAAATTCAATTAAAATGTATTATGCAATAATTTGGATTTTGCAAAACCAGGAGTAATTTGTTATCTGCAAGAGAATTTTTGGTACATTTTCAGATTATTACTTTTATTACAATTTATTTTATTTAAATATTTTAATTTGAAAAATTTGTATAATTATTTAAACAGTAAAAATAACTAAAACAAAATACCTTTCTTCAATTTATTATTTAAAATTTATTAATGTGTTACGGATTACAGCAGTTTTAAGCGGAATGCAAAGTGGGAGAGGTGTGAGCGCGCGAACATTTGTTTTGTAAACATTGGCCAACGGACTCAAAGAATGCTTCTAGCCGAAAAACTCTAATATACGACTATAATACCGAGAAGTAATAACAAATGACCCCTACAAAACTATGCCTTATTGACGTCACGACAAATTGCGAAATAGTAACAGCCACCGATGCGCTATCGGCGCATCCAGTTCGTACCAGAATGTGAAAGGAGCTGCACATGTCGCGATTGCCCTGCTAGTACCAATCGTGCACTCTTCACAGCGGGCTCGCTATCCAACCCTGCCATCGCCATTGGGAGGCCATGGCAAGCATGAAGCAACCTAAGGAACTAATAGCGATGCCACAACTATACTGGCACCCACGCCTCCGTAAGTAACACAGACGCTCGTTCTTACGACTACTACTACAGCGGTTCCAGCCAACTCAAGTAAGATACGACCAGACGCTCGTTTTTACGATCACGACTACAGCGGTTCCCTCCAACACATGTAAGCAACGCCGACACTCGTTCTTACGACTACAACTGCAGCGGTTCCCGCCAACACATGTAAGCAACG